TAGTTTTATCATAAATGGATTAAGATAATGTTGATGCGAAGGAAGAGCAAGTTTTGTTATAATTACCACGAAATATGTTATAAAATATACCGATTCACTTCTCTCCTTGCGCAAGGTCTATAATGTAATTGTGAAATCGTTACCCCGTAATGATCTCGACATAATACAAAATTAGCCTTAAATCGCACGGATGTAACAAAGAAGTAAGTAAGTTTCGAAGTAAACAGCTAAAACACAGAGTCGAGGTAAAAATCATATGTGCAACAGCTAACATATAACTATTCTCTTGGTCTTTTACTACAAAGGGATGAATTTTTTGATGAATTTAGAAACAGTCGTGTTACTTGATGAGTGCCTATTGTCGAATGACAACAAACTTGATCAAACGAAACAACAGATGACCGCGAAAAAGAATTTTTAATTTTGCGCAAATTGTTGTTAATGGATAAACTTCTTAGAAACTTGACCTGAGCAGTTCATCCTTTTCGGCGCACTCTGTCGGTGAAAAAAAAATTCAGACTTAACCCTTTTACTCCCACAAGTGATCAAGACAGAATTTTTCCTTACAATTTTCAATTTCAATACTATATCAAGAATCAAGAATGTTATCAATCATGGGATTATTAGTTGACCCAATACCAAATTTTCCGAACTAATATCATAACAGTTGTATGGCAGGCAGTAAGGAGAATTACCAATAAGATCTTGGGAGTGAAAGGGTTAAGTTTCCGTGCGCCTCACTTCCAGAGTTCCGCGCGACGCGCTAACATCAATTTTTTTTTCCACTGACCTTTTTTGATCCGCGTGACGGACTTCGCCGAAAAGGAGAGACTACCCGTGGTCTACTTACAAACATGCATGGTAGACAGAAAAGTATTCCCCCGATGGGAGAAGTTAAATCTACATCCTCTTAGAAAGTTGTGTCAGTAGGAAAGTTCTCGAGTCTGATTGGTCCTTAGCAGCGTTTATTTATCACTTTTTGTAACTAGGGAGTGACCGAACCGTACAACTTTATCTGTCTGATTAGCAGGACCTTTTCACTGGACCAGTCGAAACGGACAGTTAAACAACCGATGGAAACTAAGCCGCTAAATTTTATTGGTATTGGTATAAACGGCCGCGGAATTTGCACCCGAAAAGATGGTAATCGTTGCAGGAATAAATGAGCTAAAATCATATTTTTCTGCTTTATTATGTCACCGTTTTAGTATATACTAAAACTATTATTCACCTCAGTGTCGATGTCTAGCGATGGTGGTATAACCCACAACTAGCCACATCCATCTGAATAGTTGTTAACTAGCCAATGAAATTCAAATCTCATACATATTCTAACCAATGAAAATCAAGGAAAATCTATCGGGAGTAAGTTGCTCAGGTTAAGTTTGAAGACAAGAAAAATGGATGAAATTAACTTTAGGTTGATGCCTGTTCTGACATTAAATATTTTATGGCTGAGTTTCTTGCATCTGGAAATTAGAGTCATACAAATCAGGGCGAACTAAGCCTGATTATTTGCACGATTACTCCCTGAATTGTGCTCCATAAACTTCGCAATTCGAAACAAATAAATAGCAGGAAACTGCAATATTTTAAAATCCTTATGGGGTTAGTAAAAGTATTGAAAGGCTTCTTAGCAATGACTAAAGTAATTTTCTTCTGACGTATCACAATATACTTTCATTTTGTGGGATAAGTCGATGCCTATACCGAAACACAATAAACACGACAGAAATAAACCCAACTATAAAAATCGTTCGTAACGATGATAAAAGAAGGCAAACACTTGATTTATTACTCCAATGAATTTATAAAATTTCCTTGCAACACTGATGAGACACTAGTTGGCCTCAGATCTATTTACATAGGGCCGGGGTAATTTTCTGAAGAAACTGCGGCGCTGAGTCGGTGGAAGAGTATAACATAGTAATTTAATATTATCAATTGAGTTGATAATACTACATTACCCTTTTAATCACATGCTTCAGTCTGTTTGCCAAGACCCAAGAGTTTTACCTCGAGTTTCAGTTTTGAGAATATGCAATTAACAAGGATTTGATCCTCGTTTGTCCATCACGTCACTCATTTTTCTCGCAGTGTCCTTCGTGATCTTGTGTTCAGGGCCCAAAATATCCTTTTGAATTACAAAGGCCTCATTGAGCTCCTCTAAAGCCTCATCGAATTGTCCTTGAAGGAATAAGACATCGCTAAGCTGTACGCACGAACGAGCTGTATCCTGATGGTGACCCAACAGCCTCTTTCGTAGCCCTTGAGCTTCCCTGAAGTACATCTCAGCCTGGTTGATGTCACCTCGCTCAGGGCTTCCAGTCGTAAGGGCCTTGTACGTCGAGTCAGCGATGAAGGACAAAATTGAAGCTGTCCAGGGGTGGTCACCAAGCTGCTCTTGGTAAACAGGCAGAGTGTTCTTTTTCCAAATGTCGATTGCTTCTTGATGGTCTCCACACAGTCGATAAGAATCTGAAAAAGTGTTAGGACAAGATATAGGTTTTACATAGTTTAATGAATCCTTACCGCGTTTTAAGAAGAAGCAACTGATATGAATAAAGAGACGGACTCCTGATTCAAAGCAGGTACGCATCGAGGGTGATTTTGTCAAAGAATATAAAGCTTGTAAGCTGTACACTTTTAAAGGGCTATTTCCCAAGTGGAATCCCTCCCCATATCACAAATCAACTCATTGTAAGACTAACCAAGGAACATCAACCCTTTAAATCACAGATTCCTAACTTCCAATTTTTCCTTGCGACAGCACCATTTGAATCAAACATTAAGCACATAAAAATAGATCAAATAAATTTGTTGACTAAATTCTCCTTGTCAATACCACTGGAAATGTTTTAGAACAGTATGGAGAATATGCATGGGGAAGTTAGGCTGTTAGGAGTCAAGCATTCAGAGTTGCTCGTTTCACTTTCATATCGAAGCCTATAGACAAGACCATTCTCTCTTTCTCCATGAAAATAAGACTCGACTAGATTCAAATACATGAGTTTACTGTGTCCTCTTTTCAGTTTTTATTTAGCTGGAAATGTATTTGTTATTCTCTCGGTTTATTAAAAGAAACCGCTCAATTCGGAATTTCACAGTGCGCTTTGTCACCCTTTTAGCCTCCATCCAGTCTCTTAAAAGAATACGCTTGTGTTATACGGAGTGCAAACCAAAACATTTACTTACTTCCAAGGTCACAGTATCCAGCAGCAACATACAAACAGCCACGTAAAGAATTTCTGATTGAAATTCCTTCCTGTATGAGCTTGCGTCCTTTTTTTTCTTCTCCCTGAAAAACAAACAACTCTTGTAAATATCCCGGTCCAGTCTACCTTAGTGCGAGTGACACCCCATTAGGAGTGAAGCAAACTCGCCCATTTCCGCCATTATTGATAAAGTTTCATTAGATTTCCTACAATCTTCGGTACCCAAGAGGAACTTGCACACTTCGCCTTGGCGTTAGATTCTCATAAGCCCCACAAAATGGAGAAAATCACAAACAAACAAAAAAAAACTGCACGCAGTCCTCTTTTATCGTTACTATGATCTCACCTGCAATACAAAACATACTCCGAGCTTACTAGCAGTGTGCGCATGAGTTTGGGACTTTTGTTCCTCCTCTGGTAGTGTCCTGCGCATGTCATATGCTTCCTGAAACATTGCAAGTGTGACTTGGTTTTCTTCTGGGCTGTCTCTGCTGTGAGCCACGTCACAGAGACGACGGAATCCCAGTGAATTCAAGCTCTCTGCATGCCTCTTCTTGTCGCCGGACGCTTTAGCAATATCACAGCATTTCTGGTACAGCATTGTGCACTCTTTAGGGGGTGTTAGAACTTTTGCCACAAAATCCAGCACTTCTGTACCGTTTACGACGTCTAAAACGAAATATTTGTCATCTAAATCGCTAGAGTCTTCGAGACAATTCTTCAGCGCTTCCATGATGTTCGCTTTCTGTTGTCGAAACTTACGGATCGCATCCAAAGCTGAATCTTTGCTAATAAACTCTTCGCTCAAGACTCTCAGCTGATCAAGGTAATGATGGTTAAATTTACGCTGAGTGGTGCGCCACAGGTCACCCATGCCTAGTGATTCATTCTCTGTCCGGAAGTAGGCTTGGATTAAAGGATGCATCCTCATCTTTCCATCGGCGTCCTTCTGAAGAAGAGCATACTTGACCATCCTGGTCTTCGCTGTTTCACAATGTAAAAGATCTTGAAAAAGAAACTGAACGTCTTGAGGTATGAACTCCGATGGGAAAACAGAGAAAAGGACAAGATTTTCTTTTACCTCATTGGAAAAAGTGTTAAAGAATACTTCTAGCGTGTTATAAACATCCTCCGCACTGATCCTGAAAAGTTGTATGGGATTTTTCACGAGCTGTTGGATTAACATCT